TTCCACATGAAGACCACCATTTCAAACAGGTAAGGGTTGGGTTACATAACCTAAAGATACCACCATACCACATGAAGACCACCATTTCAAACAGGTAAGGGTTGGGTTACATAACCTAAAGATACCACTGTACCACATGAAGACCACCATTTCAAACAGGTAAGGGTTGGGTTACATAACCTAAAGATACCACCATACCACATGAAGACCACCATTTCAAACAGGTAAGGGTTGGGTTACAAAACCTAAAGATACCACCATTCCACATGAAGACCACCATTTCAAACAGGTAAGGGTTGGGTTACATAACCTAAAGATACCACCATACCACATGAAGACCACCATTTCATACAGGTAATGGTTGGGTTACATAACCTAAAGATACCACCATTCCACATGAAGACCACCATTTCATACAGGTAAGGGTTGGCTTACAAAACCTAAAGGTACCTTCAATACCACATGAAGACCACCATTTCATACAGGTAAGGGTTGGGTTACATAACCTAAAGATACCACACCATATATAGAAGCATCCATCAAAATGTTCCCTTTCAAAGTAGCTGCATATATAGCGTACTAAAATTAGTTAATCGAACATCATCATGTCCGCCATTCATGTAAGCCATGTGTGCTTCAGATAGAAAAAATATGGTATTATATTTCATTTACATTCATGTGTCAACTGCATGCCAAGGACATGTCAAATCTGTCACTACATACGTACAATGAAAAACCATGCATTCAATCAGAGTCTGCTTCCATGCCTTTGCCAGCTGGAACATCTAAACAATTGATGTTGTGATTACTGTGCAATGTACATGTACTTTACTTTCATCTAACAGTGGTCGTGGCGATGATTATATTCTAAAAAAAAAAATTGTACATGTATTTTTTAATTTTGTGAATGGTGGTACTGATAAAATGAGCTGGTTCATTTCTGTAAAACCATGTCTGTTTTTAGTTATAATTTACACTTCCATGGAAAGGCATGTTTGTTCGTATATATGGTATTATGAGTTCCCATTTGAACAAAGTCTGAAAAGGGGGAGGGAACTTATGGATTAACCTTAATCCAAGTGCATGGATACCCACCTGTATCTTGGATATTCCTTGACCTCTCACATTCAAACTTCATACATACAATTTGCTTTGGAGACATAAATGTATGC